GCCCATCAATGGGACACCTAACAAAACTGCTAACTCTGGTTCAATAATCCTTGGTTCTAGTTTCCAAACAGAAACCACTGCTAACTCTGGTTCAATAATCCTTGGTTCTAGTTTCCAAACAGAAACCACTGCTAACTCTGGTTCAATAATCCTTGGTTCTAGTTTTTGTTGTTTGTGTGTGTGTGTGTGTGTGTATATATTTAATTTAATGCAAAAGGTCAACCTTATTCTGTTTGTATACAAGATCAATTTTTCAATAGTTATGATCAGATAACACAGACCAATGAATACCAGCTGACAGAAAGTCATGTTATATTTAATTTCAGACTATCACCTGCCACTATTACCGTCATTAAATTAATTATCTTGTGAAGTAGTCATAAATTATAACTCGAGTTGTTGTTGTAATAGTTTCTTTCATTACTTGTATTTCAAATAAAGTACAGGAATAAACAACACCTTCGGAGATCTTCAGTTACACCCTTGAACATTGTTCCTCTATAAACAAAACAATATAATTATAATAACCATAGCTTATTAACAATAAGGTAAAGTCACTATTAAATAATTTAAACTTCTTGGTAGCCATAGTAGGTGAAAATAACAAGCCCAACAGAGTTGAAGTGACTAAGAACAGTTTATTACAGAAACGTTCTAGGTTCGTCGCTACACGAAGAACATTACTTTTCTGAAGGTATCCGAAAGTGCCTTCAATTCGTACATTACGTTGAAAAGAAAATATACACATAATGAAGTACTCTTCCAGTTCATGCCTTCTGAGCATTAATTAATGGATTTCTATTAAATTTTATGTACAATCTGAAGAAATTTATCACTTACATGTATATTTCATTCTATGAAAACAAAAAAAATATCACTGTAACAAGCAAGAAATTCACATCCCAACAGCACTTAATAAATGTAATCGTAATTACTATTGACAATGCGAGTTGTAAACATTTAACGTTAACAATCATGAAGAACGAGACGTTAAAAAGGTACACAAGAAAAACAAGTGTAGTTACTAAGAATTGTTATATCAAATCAAAGTACCACAGTCTAGAAATAAAATATTTTAAACTGAAAACAACAATAACTTATCTATTCACTATGGATAATTTCATCTGACAGAGGTCAAGACAGGGTTTCGAGTCAAATATTTCATACATGTGTTTTGTAATTCATCGTGAGAAACAAGATAATAAAAAGTGTGTACACCGACTGTCTACCCTCTACAATTTGGATGGCCTCTTCACAATTCTAATTAACCTAAAGTCGGTCTCAGCAATAATCAGCTGACTGTCTAGATTGACTGATACGTGATCAAAATTGACAGAGAAAGAAAAGAACTTTGATTTAAAGTGTCTAAATCACGTGAAGTATTAGAGCTCCAATCATTACGTCCAATCGAGATGCGTGTCAAAACGTGTACACAGTTATGCACATTGTGCCAATTTGCATGTACAGACAGAATCTGTTTTGTGTTAAAGTAACCACGACGTGTTTACAATCACAGACTACTTCATTTTTATAAAACACATACCAAAAACAGATCAATACTTCTTCAAAAGTGTTAAAATATTACATCCTGGAGTAACATATAAGTCAAGTGTATTGCTGAGAAAACTTACTTTAAATAAACTACACCTTACTTGGTATAACAAAACTGTTAGGCTAACAACTTGAACACTGTGGGTTCTATAACAAGTTACTTCATCGAAGATAACATTAATTTATTCCCTGGTTTCTTCCCTCTTTTTACAACAATCATCATAATTTATAAATATACATGATCAAACTTATTTCTTATATATATATATTGAAACAAAGAAACATTTTCATTCCTCAGAGAAAAACATCTATTAACTACATTCACAATCACCCCCAGCTTTACTGCCAATTATTCATTCAGGAAAGATTAAAACGGTTTTAAAAACAAAACCAACAATAATGTTTGAACCTAGGAATGTAAACAGCTGGATCACCGATAAAAGAGTCTTGGTCAGTTCACTTTAATTTATCAGCGGTGACCTAATAAGGCCTGGCTGGAATTTGAGGCCTGTCGGGGATTCGTGGAGGAACAGAAGGATGGGGTCTCCTACAAAACATAACAAAATCTGACTAATAACCAAGTATTACAACTGAAACAAAAAAAACGCAAGTTGAGCATGCCAGGAAGTCCCACTCCACTCTTGGGCATCTAAAGTTACAAATTAAACAAACCTAATACAATAAAAAGAAACTTAAATGTTGAAGTATCTTAAATATAAATAGGAGCTAAACAACCACATTGTGTATTTATACAAAAGAACGGAAAACCTTATCAAGTTTAATAAGATATCTTTAAGAAATTAACAGTTGAATACATTCAGTGACATCAGGTAAACAATAACTATTAAACAATCTACCTGAAGTTAACAACAAAGGCAAGATAAGCTCAACATTCCATCAAACAGAGTACTTCTGTACATTCTAACTGGATAATACTTTTGTTCAACTGAAACATTTAGCTATATTACAACATTTACAAGCAGTTAATAAACGTTAATACGACTACTGCTTTGGTAGTAGAGAAACTATGGAACAAACGTGTGCTGCATAACTAATTAGTGAACTATAAACTTTAATTTAATAATGTATAATACAATAAGTATGGTAGCCACTTAACAGAACCTCTTTGTAAGTCAGGGTGAAAAAACAAAGTTTAGCTTTTAAAAACCTGAAGTTGTTTCTCTTAAATTTTCAACAATAAAACAAGAAGCTTAAGTTAAGAAAGCTGACTTGCTGAAAGAAAACACAAATTCAATATCAAAATGGTTTAACTAACACTAAATATGTTAAAACAATACATTCTGAGACTCACCTAGAAGATTTACTGTTATTACAGGTTGAGTTCAAAGTGAGACTCACCTAGAAGATTTACTGTTATTACAGGTTGAGTTCAAAGTGAGACTCACCTAGAAGATTTACTGTTATTACAGGTTGAGTTCAAAGTGAGACTCACCTAGAAGATTTACTGTTATTACAGGTTGAGTTCAAAGTGAGACTCACCTAGAAGATTTACTGTTATTACAGGTTGATTTCAAAGTGAGACTCACCTAGAAGATTTACTGTTATTATAGGTTGATTTCAAAGTGAGACTCACCTAGAAGATTATTGTTATTACAGGTTGAGTTCAAAGTGAGACTCACCTAGAAGATTTACTGTTATTACAGGTTCAGTTCAAAGTGAGACTCACCTAGAAGATTTACTGTTATTACAGGTTCAGTTCAAAGTGAGACTTACCTAGAAGATTTACTGTTATTACAGGTTGAGTTCAAAGTGAGACTCACCTAGAAGATTTACTGTTATTACAGGTTGAGTTCAAAGTGAGACTCACCTAGAAGATTTACTGTTATTACAGGTTCAGTTCAAAGTTAAAGATTATGTTTGGTCAAAACAGATCACAAACTGAAGAGATGCAAAAGGACAAGAGGTCAAAAACTACACGGTTTTTCACAAATACCTAACAGCTAGAACAAAATACACCCACTGACCACCAGCAATGAAACAAAAATGTTATATATGGGATAATTTATTTGTTGACTTCTGAGTTATGCTTGGTTAGTAACTGCTATTTGTTTCATAAAAACAAGGAATCAGCTGTAAGTAGATTTATGACAGTTTACAGTAAAACAAGTATTAAACATTGAATCCTAAACATTAATAACAACAGGATTGATCCTACAATGAAAAGAACTACATAAAAATAAATAAAACACCATTTGTAGTTATTAAACAACAGACACGTTTTTCTATCAAGACATTATTAAGGATCTAAAGATAGAGATGCAAGTTGACACAAGTCAGTAATTTAATCACCAACCTACACCTTCTTATCCTACTCAGAATATCTGACAATGTGGCCAGTTATTTATGTAGAGGCATGCCAAAGGCATCAAGAACAGGCTCGGGTCCCGCCTGTGTGTTTCGTGGTGGTACGGAAGGAAGGCCTCCTGCAGACCCTCGCCTAAAGGAGGTAACAACAGAGACGGGAAACACACAATAAACACAAACACAGACATGGTTATAAACACAAAGAGTTATCAAAAAGATTAAGCTGTTTGAAGGTGGTTAGTTTAATACTATCGTGGAAAACATTAGGGAACAAACATGTGCACTAAGAGCTATCTTGCTGTTATAAAGTTAAAAGGTATTAAAACGTAGAGCTGAATATTCAATCAAAATACTGGAAGACGTACATAAAATCTTTTTTTGGTAAACAAACACATTATGTTATAGATCTGTTCAACTAATTAAACAAAGCACATATCCATGACCTTGTTTATCTGGGTTTGAACACAGTTCTTCACCAGGATATATTTACATGAATTTTATTAAGCACAACATTTCAATTCGTTTCAAAATATTTTTTTTCTTGCTATATTTGAATTTTTTTTAATACTTCTATTAACAATATACATAACTGAAAAATAATGGAAACCCGTTCACTTTATGAGTTCTTTGTTTAAACTCTATTTCCAGGTGAATAAGGATGAAATTAACCCTGTTCAAGGCATCAGTGTTCCTCCTACAACCAAGTATTTAAGTTTTTATTGTATCTTTTACTGACAGAATCTATACAAGTTTTTCTTTTCTCTGGTATTTAGCTGACGGTCTAAATCAAAAATTGCTCTAGTACCTATCAGAAAATAAACTAAGCAGGCACTCATGATACCATGGAAGCCAAGGATGACAGAGGAAGTGTTTCTAAGTGTCAACCCAACAGAGCTTCTATAACCTTGTGACAGGTAAAACTGACTTGAGCATTAGTAGAGAAAAAAAAAACAATATATAATTATAAAGAAATATCTGTGTCTCGACGACTCCGGGCTCAGCATAAGTTTTAAATTTACTGAACTAACATTAAACCTGAATACTTACGAAGGAACCAATGGTGGAGTTAGGTTTCCAGAGGACACTGGTCTTGGAGGAGCTGTCGGTGGGGCTCTGTTGGGCACAGCTTCAGGGCGAGATGGTATTACAGGTACTTGGCGGGAAGCCACGGGTGGAAGTGGAGGAATTCTAACAGAGGGATTTCTTCTTGGCCCAGGTGATGACGGGCTGAAAATAAAGGTGCTATGTAAAGAACAACCAACATTTGTAAAATGTAAGTGAACAGTATGTGTTAGGCTAAGAAAGGCCCAAGTCCTGGTAATCTTTCAATAAACTGTTTTTACTGGCTCACACTTACCGAGGTGAGTCTGGTGTACTCGCTCTTAGCCAGTCATCTTTCACTGGAGGTGGGACAGGTTGATAAGATGTTGTCATAGAAACATCTCCAATTATCTTCAGAGCATCTTTACAGGCATGATACATCCGAAGCATTTCATCCCGTTTAACAGCTTCTTCCTGAGATTCTTCCATCAAGGTTGCCTGTAAATTTTAAATTTATATTTGTACACAATAAGCAGAAGAATTACGAACACCCTTCTTGAAAAAAGTTCAGGTACAACTGCGTGGGAAAAATTAAAAATAATACACATTATTATCTAATCTACTTAAGATAATGTGAACATCTTTACATAATAGGCAAATGTCAAACAGAACTTAGAACTTCACTATAGGAAAGAGCCAATACAAAAAGCATATTGTCAAGAAATCCACTTTAAATAAATCTATAGCAGAGACGGTTTACACGGGTTTTAAAAAACACAATACATGTAACAATGTTTCAACCTTAATCTGATGATGATGTAAGCAGATTGGAACATTGTTACTCGTACTGTGTTTTTAAATACAAGTTTTCAATACCCATATCAACCATTGCTGTTATAAAAAACACAATACATGTAACAATGTTTCAACCTTAATCTGATGATGACGTAAGCAGATTGGAACATTGTTACTCGTACTGTGTTTTTAAATACAAGTTTTCAATACCCATACCAACCATTGCCGTTATAACAATTATGGACAGTAAATAGAAAGTATGATGATTAGGAAGGAGTATTTGATGTAATGGCCAGTGTTAGTGAGACTGAGATTTTAATCAACTAATATTACTCCCACACCATCTAGAACCATTTGAATCTGCTCTTTAGCTAATATACTTTTAAAAACTGAATTACGTTTCACACTGGGGGGAAAACAAACTTGTTAAGCAGAAAAGTAAGAATTTGGGTCTCAAGAAAATCTTACCTTTGTCACTTGAAGTTCTTACCTGGTCACTTGAAGCATACAAACTAGGAAGCAGATCCCCATATATGAAGTCTTTAGTCTGTCAAAAAATAAAATTAGAATTTTACAATGCAAAAAAATCATTAACAAAAGCTGGGGTAAACTTGAAGAAAAATATGTGTAATATCCACTAGGCATCTAGTGAATCCAAAACATGAGCAGTGTGTTTCTGTAAACATGGTTTGAATGAAAAATTGGGGTCCATTGATTATCTAGTGAATCCAAAACATGAGCAATGTGTTTCTGTAAACATGGTTTGAATGAAAAATTGGGGTCCATTGATTATCTAGTGAATCCAAAACATGAGCAGTGTGTTTCTGTAAACATGGTTTGAATGAAAAATTGGGGTCCATTGATTATCTAGTGAATCCAAAACATGAGCAGTGTGTTTCTGTAAACATGGTTTGAATGAAAAATTGGGTTCCATTGATTATCTAGTGAATTCAAAACACGAACAATATGCTTATACTCTCTTCTTAGTGATAAAACTTTTTTACTTTGTGGAGAATTTTGATGATATATTTTTCGTGCTATCCAACTGGTTATTTCTATTATTTGTAACCAACCATATTTTTTTTGGCCTCTTCATATACAAGTATCAACGACTTGTGAAATGTTTAAAATACGGTTTGGTTTGTTTTGAATTTCGCTCAAAGCTACACGAGGGCTATCTGCGCTAGCCGTCCCTAATTTGGTAGTGTAAGACTAGAGGGAAGGCAGCTAATCATCATCACCCGCCGCCAACTTTTTACCAACGAATAGTGGGATTGACCGTCACTTTATAACCCTCCGACGGCTGAAAGGGCGAACGTGTTTGGTGAGACGGGGATTCGAAACCGCGACCCCCAGATTGCGAGTTGAGGGTCCTAACCACCTGGCCATGCCGGGTCTGAAAATATGGAAACTGTCATTTAATTATCTTCGAAATTCTGTCCAAAAATAATAAAAATTAGACACAAGAAAGTCTTAACTTTAGTAATCATTATTTTAAAGTAGCTCCTTTTCTTCATTGTTTTCCTACTCAAAAGTCGATGTACTTAGAAATGTATGACGTGCTTGTTGTCACATGCTGAACCATGAATATCTTAACGCTGTTAAGTGTCATATTCCAGAATGGTTGGTGTTCCACTGTGTGACTAGTCTCCAGTGACCCTCGGGCTGTATCACGTGACTACTCCCCAGTGACCCACGGGCTGTAACACGTGACTACTCTCCAGTGACCCACGGGCCGTATCACGTGATTACTCTCCACTGACCCTCGGGCTGTATCACGTGACTAGTCTCCAGTGACCCTCGGACTGTAACACGTGACTACTCTCCAGTGATCCACGGGCTGTAACACGTGACTATTCCCCATTGACCCACGGGCCGTATCACGTGATTACTCTCCACTGACCCTCGGGTTGTATCACGTGACTAGTCTCCACTGACCCTCGGACTGTAACACGTGACTACTCTCCAGTGATCCACGGGCTGTAACACGTGACTACTCTCCAGTGACCCACGGGCCGTATCACGTGACTAGTCTCCCATGACCACCGGGCTGTATCACGTGACTAGTCTCCACTGACCTTCGGGCTGTAAATATCCGATGAGAATTGAAACTGATAAATCATATACTAGTCCATCTAAGCCTTGTAACGATTCTACTAAAACTATTACAGAAGAATAAACTATGTCTCTGGCATACATATAAATAGTTAGTTGAAACGTGATGACTTTACAGTTTGTTCAGTACTTCTTGATGCTAGCTTCTCCAACAGAAACCACTACTAACTCTGGTTCAATAATCCTTGGTTCTAGTTTCCAAACAGAAACCACTGTTAACTGTGGTTCAGTAATCCTTGGTTCTAGTTTCCAAACAGAAACCACTACTAACTCTGGTTCAATACTTCTTGATGCTAGTTTCCAAACAGAAACCAATACTAACTCTGGTTCAATACTCCTTGATGCTAGATTCTCCAACAGAAACCACTGCTAACTCTGGTTCAATAATCCTTGATGCTAGATTCTCCAACAGAAACCACTGCTAACTCTGGCTCAATAATCCTTGGTTCTAGTTTCCAAACAGAAACCACTGCTAATTCTGGTTCAATAATCCTTGGTTCTAGTTTCCAAACAGAAACCACTGCTAATTCTGGTTCAATAATCCTTGGTTCTAGATTCTCCAACAGAAACCACTGCTAACTCTGGTTCAATAATCCTTGATGCTAGATTCTCCAACAGAAACCAATCAATGGAACCCAATTTTTCATTCAAACCATGTTTACAGAAACACATTGCTC